AATGGGTGAATTTTTACGAATGCACACCAAAAGTACAAACAAGGACACCATCCATGCGCAACATGGTACTGTTAGTACTTTGATATTTTTCAGCTGTTGATGGAATCAGCCTCTCTGAGAGCTATTACAGAGTTCGGGAAACCTGACTACCAGCCGGCCTCAGAACCATAAAACTGAGTTTTAGAGCTGTAGCCTCTTTTGGAGATAATAGAATGAGTTGCCTAGTCATAAAAACAGAGACACAAGCAAAACCCATGTATCGAGTCAAGAAGATCCAGCGTTCAACATCCTAAACTGGAAACAATGTATTAAAAATACATCTGCGCTAGCCTAATAGATGAAGAAGGGGTGCGAGGCTGGTCAACAGATTGAATCTGTTTACCCCTTAAATACCTTGATGTTAAAGAGATCAATAACTCATAATATTTTAAATTCTATTTTGCATTATTTACATTTGAAAGACCTTCATTTAGTTACATTAAGAAAAAATATTTCTTTAAACTAAAAAAATGTAAAAAAAGTTATAATTAAATCTTTAATTTTTTTTTTTGTGTTCTTTTTTAAAAGTGAAATAGTGCTTGATGATTTTTACAACTTGAGAATTTCACAAGAATGAAGCATGAATAATTTCCGTGAATGTTATTGCATCTCAGTAGTTTGTTTTTATTAAATTCTAATAAGCAGGGTAGAACAAGGCTGTTTGAGCCAATTTTACTTAATCTAATCACGAACGATTGAACTCATGAACGTCAGATTAACATTATTTTTTTTACGATTGGAAAAATTTAACATGCTAAAAACTGTAAAAAATAAAAATAACCACTATTTATTATATAAGATTATTGTTATAAATTTGTATAAAATAGCAAATTTATTTTTATTTTCATATTTTTAACTTCATATTTTAAGTTGTCTGTTATTCACTCTTGTATTCTAAAATTTTAGCGCTTTGGTTTTTATATCTGCATTAAAACTTATTAGTTTTTTAACTTAGTTGTAGTAAGGGTTTTTTACATGCTTTAACTACATAACAATTAAAAAAAAAAAATCTAGAAATAAAATCGTTTCAGTAAGAACTTTTCTTGTAAAAATCTTGTAAGTAATTTTAAATGATTAGTTAATATATTTTAAATGATTAGTTAATATATATTTTAATGATTAGTTAATATATTTTCCAGATTTTCAATATTAATGCTCTAAAAGAAGAGCATTATTTTCTTTTCTTTTTTTTGAAAAGTTTATCTCAAGAGTACAATCTAGGATTTATATTCAACGCATCAAGAACATATTTACTAGTTATTTAAGCAATATGAAATTCATTACACACATAGAAAGCTTTTTTACACAATACTAGATTTTTAACGCAAGAAATACATCAATTAATTGACAGATCTCTTTAGCACATAAAAAATGTACATTCAAAGTTTTCGTTTGAATTTATAGAATATTGTTTTCCACATATATTGACAATACCACTTAGACATATTGATAAAATAATTACTAATTAAAAACGGTCAGAAAACTATTAAAATGTCATAACAAAAAATAACGCAATGTAATTAAAGCTTTTTGCAATTTTTATTTTGAAGCAAAACGATTACACTCCTCAAGATCATCTAAGATCACATTCAATAACAAAAATGTTTGAAAAGTTTAACAGGTATTTGTCAACCTTGGCTGTTTTGCCATAGGGGCGCCACGTCACTATCAATCACTAAATAATCTGCTCCCTGTCTTGTTTAAGCATTTTCCTCCAAATCCTCACTATCATTCGTGTGTTTAACGTCTTGAACGTTTCACGGATTGTAATCATTATTTTCTATTTCTACATCCGCCAGCTTACTTGTACGGCTGAGCTACATTCCACTTTTTGTCTAACGTACTTCACATGACATAGCATCCTTTCCACTTTGAATAGTTGCTCCAACTCGTTCAGGGTGACAGTAACCGGACGTCACTTTGTCACACAACGCGCCTCGAATAATTTCAGCGGCCAAGTTTTGAGCACATTCGTTGAAAAGTCAAATTTTTGTTCCATTCCTTATTATTGTTCTATTCCTTATTATTATTCCTAGTAATTGGACTCAGCCATTTCTTGCTAACTGAGGCATTATACCAGTATACAGTTTCCGCTGTAGAGATTTTTTTTCAAACGTTTAGCCGTTTGCTTAACAGTAGGTCGTTTTCTCGAAAATGCCATTATTCCCTTATGGACAGAATGCTGCTAAAGACATCACTTGTGCATTCTAGTTTTCGAATAATGAATGCATAATCATTATTTGTCAGTATTTCTTTAGGTGCTTCTTTTTGAGAAAATATAGCCTAAAAATGTCAAATCACTTTGGTGCTTCCCGGTGAATGTGACAGGTGCCACTATAGTGCAAATCCTGGAGGATACTAATTAGTTAAAATGTGTATAAAGTTCTTCTAATTCCAAAGTGTCCAGTCTGCTGGTGTATTTCCAAAATTGAATCTTTATTTGTTACAGCAATTCCAGCAATATCTACAGAGTTTTTTTGGGGCTTCTAAATTATAAAAAAAAAAAAAGAAAAAAGAAAAACTTTTAACAACTTATTTTAAATTTTCTTTCCATTATTCTTTTTTTCCCCTTCCAAACTTTCGTAGGCTGTCTAAGCATTACTTCGCAATAACTCAGGGTAAAACACTTTCAACTCAACACTTTGCATATCTGGAACCACTAGGTTCGCTGTAACCATGTTGTTGAAAACGACGTGCCATCGTATTTTTTGAAAGTTATTTAAAAATCATAGATGGTTCTGTCAAGTGTCTTCTGAGATCTTTTACTTGTAGATTTTTTATGCAAGAAATATATCAATCAATTGACAGTAGTTAGTAAATAAAAATCTTGTTAGTAAATAAAAACTGTAAATAAAATTTATACAACATTGTAATCCACAAATATTGAGATTAAATACACTTAAACAGATTAAAATAGATAATCGTTAGAAAACTATTAAAATGTCAAAATAAATAATTACGCAACGTAATTATTTGGTCTGACAACGTAATTATTCATTTCCCATCGAATCTTAGCACGTCTACATTTTTCGCTTCTTGTGTCAATGTATTGGATTCAAAACGCTTGAAGCTATGTTGCGTGAAGCAATTGTTTTTCAACATTAGTTACTTCAACATTGACAATTTGCTGGACTTTAGAGTTGATGTTATACACCTATGTTGATGCTAGGCGTTGTTATTAAGAATTTTAGAATGCAGTGGCTAAAATTGTTTTGTTAGTGGTGCTACCGGTGACAGCATCACTAACTTTTATTGATGTTGAGGGAAAAAAATAAACAGGTATTTTAAAATGTGCAGCCGTGGTGCATTGGTTAGAGTTCTGGCTGAAAACCAAGAGATCTGTAATCTAAGTTAAATGCTCTTTCGTAGTTCTCTGTGATAAGACCGTAAGGACTTCTGGGAGCACCTTAATAACTATATATAAAAAAAAAAATTTTTATGTCTCTGCATAAAACTCTTGAGGTAATTTGCAATAAACTTTTTTTGACATGGCAATAAACACCAACATCTAATGGCTACAGAACGTGGGATGAATGAGCTGGTATGCAAACTAACGAAACATTATTTTTAATACAAAAAAACTTAAATAATAAAATATCGTGATTAATAACATGCTGATTAAAACATTTTAATGTAAGTACTAAGAGAATGTTTATAATTTTTAACATAAATAATTTGAAAATAAGAAAAAACGTAAGTGGACACTTAAAACATTGTGGCAAGTATCCATCTACAACTAATATATGAATACCTATAATTTGAAAACTAGTTATTAAATAAATAAAATGTTATTATAAATAAACTATTAAATAAATCTAATTAGATTTATTTAATTAAATAAATAGTTGATTAAACTAAGGATTAAATTGTTTACCTAGAATTTCTTTAATGGTGGGAGTGTACACATCTCTGAGCCGCTGCACGAATAGTTTTTACTTCCGTCCATCCGTCAGCTTAGACATAATTAATTAATAAAAGCCCCACTTACCAAGATAACAGTTGGTGTACTTTATTAATTCTATAGCTCACATTTTTTGTTCATCACTCAAAGCTTTATACTGAAATAACAACCTGAATTTTAAAGTTAAATTTAAATAAAAAAAATTTCTTGACCGGTGTAAAGACACACAAAGATACATATATTATAGTATACGTAAATATTATTATAATATTATTTAACTATTATAATATATTAAACACTATGATTATGATAAAAACTCTTCCCTTTTCTTGTATACATTTAATTACTACTATAAAGAAAATAATAATAATAACAATAATAATAATTTTATTATTGTTATTATTTTTATAAACTATTTGTATAAACTATTTACAAACTATAATGTAAAAAAACAATAACAGGATCAAAGTCACTCTTTGTACCACCATCATTACGTTGTACCATTGCCAATAACTTTTTGTACTAATTTTAAACTGTATACAATATATTTCATGTATAAGATTTTTAAAAGCTTATCAATCTACAGTTGGTTGACTTTTTTTATTGTTTAATTGTATATATAATACTATAATGGAAATAACAAAAATTTACCTTCGCCTCTGCGACAATAATTTTAATGTGAGTACTAAGGCCCTTAGTACTCACATTAAAATTATTGTCGTAGAGGCGAAGGTAAATTTTTGTTATTTCCATTATAGTATTATATTTATGTTAAAAATTATAAACATCCCCTTAGTAAGGGGATGTTTATAATTTTTAACATAAATAATTTGAAAATAAGAAAAAAACATAAATTATTAAATTTAAGTTCATTAATATTTATCAAATGTCAACTAAATACTGTTTTTTTAATACAAGTTTAAGATTGGTTAAGAGTACTAAAACAAGTTACAGGTCGTTGGTGTCTTATCCACAAAAACTTTTTGTTTACGCTGCCAAACATCAGCTTTATTTTATTGTATTTTTAATACGGAAACTTCTGTAAATTTTACCAAATACGGTCCGGAAATATTAGTATGTTGTCTATATTTCTACCATTGCAACTTGCGTATTATGTACATATTTAAAAAAAAATTATATAGTACTTTTATAAAGTACTATTTATAAAAGTTTTAAATTTTATAAAAATTAGTATAGTCGACTGTTTCAAAATTTAAAATGATTAAGTTATTTTCGCTAAAAAATCAACAAACAGATCCAAATCGTGGGTCTGGAGGTGGAAAAAGAGCTTCTGCAGCACAGTTAAGGGTTCAAAAAGGTAAAAAATAAAAAATAGTAATAAAAAAGTAAAAGTTTTCAACTATTTGATAGAGTCAACTTTAGTAGATTGTTGAAAATATTTGGTTTTGAAAAATATTAAGGAATGACTAAAGATGACTCATAATCTATTTTTCTTTTTAAATACTTTAATTTTTATTACTATTATTTATGATAAATATTTTTTATATGCCAAAATATATTTATTAGGCTTTTTAAAAGGGTTTACCTTTTTTTTTAAAAAAAGGATACTATTGCATGGTGGCTATTGTTTTGGAATGTCCTTAAATTGTCCGTTTTTACAGGTGTCCATTAATGCCTAGGAATGTCCTAGAAAAGTCACATTTTTTTCAAAATTGTCCTGAAATGTTATGAAATTGTTGTTACTTGAAATAAATTTATAAAATTAATATTAATATTATAATTAAATTAATTTTTTTACTACTATATAAAAAATTTATAATAATAAATAATAGTTTGAATTTAATTTACTAGTTTAATTTTAGTTTAATTTTAAATAATAGTTTGAGTTTAATTTTTAACAACAAGAGAAAATTTTTTACAATTTATTTGTTATTTGAAAAGTCTTTATTCTTTATTAGTAGTTTATTTTATAAAGATCAACTACTAGACGTCTGAAGTTAAATTAAAATAGTTGTTTGGTTTATGCAAAACACAAATATGATAGATATTTAAGTGTTTCAATTACAAATGACATGTTACCAAAATAGGCTATTTGAGTAACATGTCATCATGTCATTATTTTGGTAATATGTACATGCTAAAGGCCATTATCAAGGGTTTTAGCATGATTTGTATTTTGCCAGTTACTATCTAGATATGCAGACTTTTCAAATAGAAAAAAATACCGCAGGGTAAAAATTTTATTAAAAAAAATTAAAAGTTTTGATAATATTAATTTAATAGAATTTAAATGTCTTGGAAAATGTGACAAAAAATTCTGGAATGTCCTGGAAATGTCCTAGTATTTTATTGTTAAAATTATTCTTTTTGAAGTAAAATCTTCAATACTCTTTCTTTTTTTTAAAAATCTGATATACTTTTTTCTATATATATTTTTTCTATAAGATGACATATGCCATTTGAAAATTAATACAGTGAAAAGCGTAATGAAAGTATTATTACTTGCATGTTAGACCATTGGTCTTACATACAAATAATTTTATGAAGAAATTAAAGATAATAAAAATTAGTTACAAAATGCGTAAAAAGCTTTAAAATAGTTTCATATAATAAATATTGTATTAACAGACTATATTGACTTTACATGATTTTGCCTGCATTTTTAAACAATTTTTTTTTATATATTTACATTAACAGATAAAATATATTTTAATTTCCATCAAAAAAATCAGATCTAAAAATTTCGTCATAAAAATCCTTTTTGCAGCTTATATGTTTAGGAAATCTACTCTTTTTTAAAAAAAGTTCTGTTAAGCCTACCCATGTATTATGCTAGCAATGTAAACACACTTAATTTTTAGTCAAGATAAGTAGTTAAAATTTTACACGCTAAATAATAAGTTTGAATATGGACTGAATAATAGGTTTGCATATGGACTGAATAATAGGTTTGCATATGCAAGGCTTTGTGTAACTTAAATATATTTTCAAGAAATCATTTTTTCCTTGATTTGAAAATTATTTGTTACACCCTATATATTATTTACCCTTATATAATAAATACAATAATTGTGTATATGCAACACTGTGTATGCAACATGCATTAGTTTGCTTATATACATTTTAAAGCATATTTTTAAGCTGTTAAATTAATAGTACACAATTTCTTGGAAGTTTTAACATAATTAGTTAAAGTATAAGCATACTATAAAAAACCAAGACATGCTCACAAAAATGTTTCAAATAAAAATATCCTTAGTTTCTTTAAACTATAAAGTGTATAAATAGTTTATAAATCAACCTTTTTGGTTTCAGTCAAATTTATTTATTGTTAGAATATTTTTGTAAAAACTTTAACCCATTAACAGTCCATGCCGTAATATTTTGCAAACAAAAAGTGGTTTCTAAATGTCCATGCCGTAATATTACGGTTTTATGCATCTCCTTATACTTCCTTCTTGTTCATAAGTAATTATACGTCTACTTGTAATAAAATTTATTACTACATAATTAAAGAGGTTTTGTTTCAATAATTTGCTTTTGACATATTTAAAGTATGACAAATAAGGAAGTTCTTTTAGTGCAAAAATAATTACCAAAATGTAAATACTTACTCACTAAAAGATAGAAAATTATACATTTAATGAATCAATAACGAAAAGATATATTTGATGAATGATTAATAAAAACTAGCAGAAAGCAACCCGTAATACGGGTTAGTAGTAAATAAATCATTACTAACAGTTTGATATTTATTTACTTTCTCTAATAAAATATAAATTTATTTATACAGTAAGCAACCCGTAATACGGGTTAGTAGTAAATAAATCATTACTAACAATTTGATTTTTATTTACTTTCTCTAATAAAATATAAATTTATTTATACAGTAAGCAACCCGTAATACGGGTTAGTAGTAAATAAATCATTACTAACAATTTGATCTTTATTTACTTTCTCTAATAAAATATAAATTTATTTATACAGTAAGCAACCCGTAATACGGGTTAATAGTAAATAAATCATTACAAACAATTTGATTTTTATTTACTTTCTCTAATAAAATATAAATTTATTTATACAGTAAGCAACCCGTAATACGGGTTAGTAGTAAATAAATCATTACTAACAATTTGATCTTTATTTACTTTCTCTAATAAAATATAAATTTATTTATACAGTAAGCAACCCGTAATACGGGTTAATAGTAAATAAATCATTACAAACAATTTGATATTTATTTACTTTCTCTAATAAAATATACATTTATTTATACAGTAAGCAACCCATAATACGGGTTAGTAGTAAATAAATCATTACTAACAATAAGATCTTTATTTACTTTCTCTAATAAAATATACATTTATTTATACAGTAAGCAACCCATAATACGGGTCAGTAGTATATAAATCATTACTAACAATTTGATCTTTATTTACTTTCTCTAATGAAATATAAATTTATTTATACATTTTTTTAGTTGTGCTCACAAATTTTTCTTGGCTTCTTAGTTTAAGAGAACTCTTAGCTTCATTAAAGATAAAGTTAACCATTTCTTTTGCAATGTTCAGACATTGAATGCGCAAATCACAACCATGTAGTAGTTAAAAATGACTTGAATTATATGCACAGAACATCGATGTCAAATTTTCAAATTCCGTAAAATTGTTTAGGTAAATATTGGGTATATATTCTACTCTTAATTTTGCTTTAAGCTGAGTCGTTTCTTTTTTTTTTAAACTTTTCAATTTAATGAGTGAAGAGCCTAAAAATATGTCACTATTGCACCTAAACTTTTCAATATTATTAATATACTTTTTAAATATTTTTAAAACATCTAAAATGTTACACCTAAACTTGTAGGCATAGAAGTTGGATATCCGGAAAAACTATAAGTTGAAAAATATATCGCAATTCTGAAAAGGGCTTAGCCCTGCATACGGATCCTATATTATTATGATAAAGATTACTACTAAACCAACCTTTTTTTAAATTAGTAATCCAGCAGAAAATTGTTTATAAAAAAATAATAAAGGAATATATGGATTTACTTTATTAGCTAACGTGTATCAACATATTTATTTCAGCATACATCCAATCCATATTTATACTAAAATTATAAAGTGTCCGGAATACATTTTGCCTTAACTTTGCATAAAATTGTTAGTTTTATTTCATTAATTTTTGTATAGATCAGAATAATAATAATAGCAATTGGATTTTACTCAATATTTTTGAAGTAATTATTCAGCTTTAATAAAATTGATAAAACCACATAAGACAGTGAAAAAAATTATTTAAACCTTTGTTCACTTTTTGAAAATCCGTAAAAAAGCAAGTATCAAGTTTACATATCTTTAAAAAAAATTTATTTACATGATATATAGTTAAATATGTAACAAAAATATTTTAAAACAGAAGCATATATAAAACACATTTTTCTTAAAAAAACAAAGTTGAAGCCACCATTTACAGCACCGAGGAGCCAAGCATAGCCTATTGTAAAGAAAACCATATCAAATAATTTAAAATATTTATTACCGATAGGGATGACAATTAAACATTTAAAAAGCTACGTGATTCCATATTAGTAGGATTGTTATAGAAAAGTATATTAAAAAAGTATATTTAAAAAGTATATTTAAAAAAAAGTGTATTAAATAGAAAACAGATTTTTAAAAACTACCTAATTTTGTAAGCATTTTGCCAATGGTGTTCAATTTTGAAACCAATATCTTTAATGGAAAGCCGACTTGTTTAACTAATCTCATTCAAAGAACAAAATTATTAACACTTAAAGATAAAGGAAAAAAAAAATGAATGAGATATAAACAATCGTACTATAGTATTATATAGATAAGTAGATATATATGAAAAAACAACAACTGGAAAACAGTATACCTGCTTTTGGTAACCTATTGTGATACTGCAGTAGTTGCTGTTGGGATGCAGCTTTTCTTTTTGGTGTTGTTCAAAAACGTAATTTTTATGTTGGCTTTTAGTAAACTTTAGTTTAATTTAAAAGACATCACAACGGATTTAAAATACTCATAATAAAAAAAGCAAAACATAAAATGCTTCAAGGAGCCAAACTATAAACATAAAAGATGAAGAATCGAATCGAGATAAATAAATTGTATTTATATAGCTAAATATATTGTCTTGGGTTTTGTTAAGTTTTAAAAGCAGTGAGTTCAATAAATGAAACTACCAAATAATTGTTTTTAACAAAAGAATGCAGCATCATTATATTATGATAATTGGATAATAAATCAATTCAACTATATTTTGAAGTTCAGGTTTAGTTGGTGAGAAAACAATTAAAATTTTCATTAAAAAAGATCAAAACAAATCAAA